GATCTTCAATTCAGAGCGAAACCGAAGATGTGCAAGGCCGTCATCTAACCGACGTTGCTGTATGCAGCGACCTGGACGGTGTAGGCACGCAGACTCAAAGGCTTCCACCTCGGCTGTCTCCGATGGATACTGAGACTGAGGTGGCAGGACCAAATTCCCGACACCGACGAACTAGAGCAACCGGGAATCCTCAGCATCAACGTCATGCTGAGACAGCTGAAGCTACGCTAGAGCGGCCACCCAAGCGACTCTTCTATGAAGACAGGTTCACGCCAACGAGGAAGTCAATTCAGGCGCTACAAGGATACTCAGAAAACCTCCTTGAAGCGTTTGCAAGTCAACCCGGTCAACTGGGAAGACCTCGCCCGGGACCGACCTACGTGGAGGACAGTGAAGACAGGCACAGCACCACCGCCGCCAAAGCCAAACGCAAAAAAACAAATCTCAACTGTCGCCGCCGCCTCGCAACGCCAACGTCCAGCCGCTTCCAACGTGCGAACGATATCAACGGACATTCCGGGCGTCAAATGGACTTGTTAGACACCTCCGGACCAGCTGCACCACCCGAACTGCGCCAACCGTCGTCTCTCTCTCTCTCGCCGTCAACCAACACTGACCGCCCTACCCAACCACCACCACCACCATCCTCCTCCTTAACGTCGGCCGCTGTAGCGTCTGTCATGCCCATTAACACCACAGACAAGCCCTACACACAAACACCACCGCCGTCGACACCGGTGGTGAGGACCTGGTCTACACCTGTCCTCATTGCGGCCGCACCTTCACCTCACAAATCGGTCTGGTCGGTCGCTTGCGAATCCATCGCATAGAATGGCGAACCAGCGCCTGAAACATCAACCTGCAACTGCCGCATCCGCCTCCATTGTCTACACTGCCCTCGCACATTCATGCACCACATGGGCCTATTCGGCCACATGCGTGCCCACAAGAGCGGAATTGACCGCAGCCCCGACACATCCAGCACACCCACAGTGCCTAACACCGCCCACCGTCACCAGCTCCGTCAGTCAGTGCATTTTACACACCCACCATGCTCGGACCCATCCATACCACATCGCCCAGCACGCTTACCACCACCATCACCGGAGCTGATACTGACACTGCCGACTTCTCATGTTCACACTCCCCATACATTCACCTCACGCATCGGCCTGGTCGATCACTTGCGAATCCATCGTACAGAAACTGGCGAGCTAGTACCTGGAGCGCCAACCTACACTCTCCGCATCCGCCTCCACTGTCTACATAGCACTCGAATAGGTGTATTAGGCCACATTCGCGTCCACGAGAACCTACGGTAGACAACCGTCAGCTGACACACACCATCACACTCTCCCTCACCAGCATTTCATCGCATCTCAACATCGCCCACCGCAAGCACCCAACCCCCGAGCTAGTGCTAAGTGTCGGTCTCGGCTTCTTCTCCGTGCGGTTCTCCTGCTGCATCCGTGATCGGAGTCTGAGACGAAAACGGTGCGTCGGGCGCCGCGGCTTGACACACAGCCGATTGACGCCCCAACTCAGTCCACGCAGTCCGCCCAGTTGTGTGTGGTGGCGGACTGAAGACCAGGCTGTCACGGCCTCCTTCTAAAGCGATCTGTGACACTCATGCATGTGAGAAGTATGTCTACTTTATGCGTAGTGCCTCTTAGTCGACGAATGTTTGGTTACCCAACCTTGAAGGGTGACTGCCCGGGCTTAATGCAGGGCCATGTGCCGACCTAGATCAAAGGTCTGGAAGCGTGTGCTATGCCAGTACGAGCAAACCATGGCCCCCGCAACCTGGTATGTGCTGGCAGTTCCCTGACACCTGGTTCCCAACTGGTAGATGCGCGTGCGCCCCTGCTGACTGCCTAGTCATCCTCGTCCCTCTGACCTCTGTTAGGGTGTTGTTATTGGTCGAGTGAATGTTGTAGACCAGGGGGGGGGGCGGTGGTACGCCTAGGCACCGGCCCGTCCGTGCCAGCCACCTGCGTCCTCCCCTGCCTCTGGTCTTCTTGGCTCTGTCTTGATGTAAACTAAGTCACGCGCAAGTCACCGTCGCCACTGCACCTTGCTGTATAGCACACGGTGAGCACCGTCGGAATGGACGATTGATTAGTAAGACCGGGGGTAGGTGTGCAGGCTGTTAGCATGACGAAAACCCACACGCAGGCGCGTGTCACTACACCGACTCGAATTCTACTGAGTAAGAGTGCCATAGGGACCACATTATGAACTAAACTGGGCCACTGCAGCCTGGTTCCTGGCCAACCAATCGGCCGCTACACACAAACACACCGGATCAACTGCGAGGTCCGAGTTATCCCGTCAGTTAGCAGCCTCCCAGGCCATGGCTTCTAACGATTCGAGTGCGCCCGACTGTTTGTGGTGAGGCATACACACTGAGACCGCCGACCTCACTCTCCCTCCCTAACCCATTAGTGATTAATCCAATCTTGTACTTGATACGGCTGTGATCATGTCTGATCTAGCCGGCCTCGATGATGTCCCGAACTGTACCTCTCCACGCGTGACGATCCGCGGCAGCAGATCTAGACAGCTCAACCCATTCCCTTCGCCAACGACGGAGACCGAATACCGAAGGTCCAATAACCACCTCCATGTCTTGACGGACAGTGTCGAGCCAGGTTTTGAACTGACCCCCTTTTCGACGCCTCCAATGGGGCAACGGTGCGGGGTCGAGGGCAGTACACTGAGCTTCTGAGGTGGACGACGAAGAACATGCCCAAACCACCTCAGTCGTCTTTCTTGGATGGCCTGAGTTATCCTTGCGATGTTATCGCAGCGAGCGCGAACTATCTCATTTGAGACGAAGTCGGTTAACTTCACTCAAGGGATGATCCTCAAGCATTGGCGGTCAAATACCTCCAGTTTTCGCTTATCCTCCACGCGCAAAGCCCAGCATTCACAACCATAGAGAAGGACAGACCGGACAGATTTACGGTACACGCGAATCTTAGTGGCGATGGAGAGGTCACGTCGGTTCCACAGGCATTTCCGAAGGCTTGAAAAAACCCACCGGGCAGCATCGATTCGGGAGACAATGTCATCCTTTCTCTGTCCATTAGGCAGCAGCCTCGCCCCGAGGTATTTAAAACTGTCCACTTCTTCAAGTTGACAACCATCAATCCCCAGGGGTGCCTTCTCCTGGTCAGGGATGCAGCTTGAGAATACTTTGGTCTTCCCAGCGTTTATGGACAAACCGACTGATTTAGCGACCTCGTTCACCCGTGACACCATAGACTGCAGATCACTCCAATCACATGTAGCCGGACCGTTTTGAGGGCTCCGGTAGACACCGATTTCCATCTTTACGTGTGAGAAATTCTTGGCAGAAACTGGCTGTTAATGAAGATCCAGCGGGCCTCACTGGACTCGGTTTTATCCACATCGATCGCCTTGGTATTATTTCCACCTTCAGGAGGGCTGAAGAACGAAAGGCTAATCTAAGACACAACGGCCCGCTCCGACTAGTCAGAAGGCGCCAGAAAGGAGGAGGAAGTTCAATCGGCTTGCAGACCGAAGAAGACCTTTTGAGTGTCAAGGGTGACAGCAGATACGCGAACCTGATACACGGGGATGGCCCAGTAGTCGCGACAAAATGTGCCCTTGTGAAGGTAGGGGAGGTCCACACTTGGAAAAATGCGTTTTACTGATGGATAACAGAGGGCGAAACTCCACCCAAAATGGAAATATCAACTAAAAAAGACCGGTTTGCTTTGTATGACAAGATATGAGAGTTCGGTAGGTGGAGACGACTGGGTACTCAGAACTCGGTCTCGGCGCTGAGGGTGCGTGTCTCGGTGAAGCGGTTGAAGCGTTCAATCAGGTCCTCCACCTTGTGCTCACCCAAAACCTTATTGTCACGTGTGCGCACGTTGACGGTGCCATTGGCTTTCTCCTTCTCACCCACAACTACAAGGCAGACAGGGCGGCAAGTGAGAGTGGCGGGCCGACACGCATACATCTGCAGCACTTAGGAGCGAAAGGCGACTCACCAAGTATGAAGTTGTACTGAGCCAACTGTCCATTCCTGATCTTCTTGTTGAGAGTGCGACCCGGATCGGTGTCAATTGAGACCATGAAGTGGGCGTCGTGCAGCTTCTTCTGGACCTCTCGACCGTAATCATCAACAGCCGATACAACAGGCACCACAAGGGCCTGACGAGGACTAATCCAGAACGGCCATTTGCCTAAAAGCGAGACAGATTAAGGAGGGTCATTTATGAGGGGTAGTTAGTTGAAAAAAAACGACCAGCTATTCGTATGGCTACGGCGAACGTGACCAAAGTACAGTGTCCAAGCCGAAACACATTCACAAACCAATGGGCGTTGAGCGGAAGCACCTGATAAATCTGTTGTCAGCTTCTCTTACAAGACCTACATTTCTAAGGTAGAAGTGAACTGCACCGTCGAACGGACTGGTGCACTCGGCAAGTTCTTGACTAAGGGCGACTTCAACCACCAAATGTGGTTCGAGACGATAACGCAAAATCAGTAAATTTTCGCAACTGCGAAACGAAGGCCATAAAATGAAACAAAATCATCACTCCCATGTCTTAACTTCGATAATAATAACTGACCACCGCTTGATACAAACGAGTTAATGCCGAATATCTATCGAATCTTGGAAGACAGGTGAGAGTTCGGACAACAAAGTACCGGAATGGCTATTTCCGGCGGGTCAGCTGCCATCAGCCAGACACACCCAACCCCAAGTGTGGAGCACCTGTGATTTGAGCCCGAGATCTTTGGCACTGAGTGTGTGACACTAGCATTGACTTGTCGGTATCACCCTATCTACCTATACTACTTGTCGCTATGCAACTGCCTGCCAGGGTTCTGTTTATCATCCCCCGAAGAAGGCGATTTCATGGACCAGGCTGTATTCATACCGACGTTCCGGACAGAATGGGGTCGAGTGAGATCCTAACCACAGAAGTGCGGGTCACACGCCCACTTGACAAGTTCGCGAATGAATGCCTGACGAGGACTAATCCAGAACGGCCATTTGCCTAAAAGCGAGAGAGATTAAGGAGGGTCATTTGTGAGGGGTAGTTTGGTGCCAACGTTGAAAAAAAACGACTAGCCATTCGTATAAAAATAAGAGTTGTTAGCTACCGCGAACGTGACCAATGTAAACTGTTCAAGCCGAAGCACATTCACAAACAATGGGCGTTGAGCGGATGTACCTGAGAAATCTGTTGTCAGCTTTATCTTACAAGACCTACATTTCTAAGATAGAAGTGAAGTGCACCGTCGAGCGGACTGGTGCACTCAGTAAGTTCGTGACTAAGGGCGACTTCAACCGCTAGATTTGGTTCGAGACAGTTATTACAACACGAATACTATAACGCAAAATCAGTTAAACTTTCGCAGCTGCGAAACGAAGGCCATAAAATGAAACAAAATCATCACTCCCATGTCTTAACTTCGATAATAATAACTAAAGACCGCTTGATACAAACGAGTTAATGCCGAATACCTATCGAGTCTTCGAAGACAGATGAGAGGGTATAAGTTCGGAGAGCAAAGTACCGGGAAAGATTAGGGAGACCGGAATGGCTATTTCCGGCTTATCAGCCGTCATCTGCCAGTCATACCCAGCCCCAAGTGTGGAGCACCTGTGATTTGAACCCGAGATCTTTGGGCACTGAGTGTGCGACACTATCATTGAGTTGTCGGTATTACCCTATCTACCTATACTACTTGTCGCTACGCGACTGCCTGCCAGGGTTCTATGGTTTGAACCCCACAGCACAACGGGACGAGCACATCATGTTTATCATCCCCCGAAGAGAAGGCGATTTCATGGACCAGGTTGTATTCATACTGACGTTTCGGACAGAATGAAGTCGAGTGAGATTCTAACCACAACAGTGCGGGTCACACGCCCAATTGACAAGTTTGCGAGTGAATGTCAATCATTCGTAAATTCCGATACCTTTCATCTGTTAAATATCCTATTGTGTGTATGAGCGGGTCTGGCATGCTCATAAATCAAGGCTTGAAAACAAGCGTAGGAGGCATTTATAGGAGCTGTATGGAATTATTTTCTACAGTACCAAATAGGTCACTGGTATATACATCCAGGAAATTCAACGAGCAGATTTAGAGGAGCTTTGTCAAACGGGGTTGAGAAGGCAAAAGCTATCAGCGTACCGATCACAGAGCGAAAGAATGTAGGCACCAATAATAAGGTGTAATAAGGAAGTCAGTTATTAAACTTGCCGGCAAAGTGTTCCGTCAAGATTGCCATGCAGC